GCCTTTCAGGGGCGGGCACCGCTGCCCGGCCCGGGACGGGGCGTCGCGATCTCTGCAGAGAAAAATGGGGCGCGCGGAGCGAAGGTCCTCAAGGAAAAAAAGGAAAAAATAGGCTCCAGACGGCTCCTGGGGCGGCTATCGGGCTGTCTCCTGGCCACGCTGCGCCCACCCCTCTCGGAATGGCGCCACGGGTCCTGGCCGCCGTCCCCGACGCCCTCGTCACCTCGCGAGGCCGCGGCCGTCGCCTCCAGAGCAGAAGACCCGCGGCGACCGCAGCCCGAGCGGAGACATAACAACTGACGTCGGGGGCGGGGCCTCAGGCGGGGCCGCGAGGGAGCACCCGCCCCGTTGACGGAGGAAGTGGGCGGCCGGGCCCGAGTGGGAAAGAAGTGCGAAGCCGCGGGTCTGCCGGGGCTCCCAAACAGCTCCCAGAGGCCCCTCTCCAATGACTTCGCTCTCTTTTCTTTTGCCCAGTAGATATTTAGGAACCGATTTTGTTGGAGATGGACTTTGGACTGTGTCGCTTTGTGTGTGTGTCTGTGTGTGTGTGTGTGTGTGTGTGACTTTGGACTGTGTCGCTTTGTGTGTGTGTGTGTGTGTGTTTTGCAAAAACAAGACAGTTAAATTATCCTCTTAAAATTGGTAAACTAGAAAAGGCAGTTAAATTATCCTCTTAAAATTGGTAAACTAGAAGAGTACGTTTATACCAGGTCCTGGTGAAAAAGGAAAATTTTGGCACAGTTGGTTTCAGATGGAAGAAAACGAAAACCAGAAAACAATGATTTTCTATCTCTAGATGAGAATGTAGTTTGTGCACTGTGTGTAGGAGGTTTGGCTGAAAGGGCAGTTAGAACTAGGCCCACTGGTACTCACCCGTCTGTTACAATCTTCCACCCACCCATCCCCCCCTCCCCGCCCCCTTCAGTCTGAGGGGTGTTAAAAGGCAGATATTGAAGTGTGGAATTCCGAGAACAAAGATTGTTGAATGTTGATATGTCCCAGTGCAAAGTTTACCTGTTTTCTTTCGCTACACTCTATGAGTGTGGGCACCGCCAGCAAGAGGGATTTAGATAAAATGAGTAGTGTGGGCGAGCATGCAGTACTCGGTTCTGAATTCCCAGGGGAGCAAACTCTGTGACAATCTCTATGCCAGTCTTGAGGGAGAATGGCGTTGCATATGTAAACTAAACAAGACTGGCTTCTACCATCCCCCTTGATCAGGAAGGAAAAGACCCAAGATTTACCACAGAAATGTTAGCCATTGTACAAAGCCCTCAAATGTCTTGATCTACGAGTGAAAGTTTTAGGAAGAATAAGGGTGCGATACTCAATCTTGGAGAGAATGAGAAATGGGAAACAAAGAATGGACTGTGAGAATATAGCCTCCAAATGGTACCCCTTTATATAAAGCAAACAAAAGCATTTCAGTGCATAGCTAGTGGAGGAGGACTCAGGAGGAAGCAGCCCTGGGGCAAGGAGAAAGAATCAGAGGAGATGTAGGAATGTATAAAGAGCTCTTCTTGGCCTCTGCTTCTGTGTCTTAACTAGCTTCAATGTGGCTTTGTTTCCACCACTGGAAACAGATCAATGTGGGAGCTGCATTAAACAGCTCATTCTAACAAGCTTGGTTCTGAAATTTCAGAATCCTTGAGTATGTCATGGTGACCCTGTTACTAGGCAATATTGCTGTCCAAACCTTGACATATAAGGAGAAGTCCTTCGCCTCAAAGGAATGTACTCGCTCGTGAAGAAAGACTGACCCAAACTCAAATATTATAAAAGAGGGATGAGTGGGGAAAGTTGGAGTGTGAGCTGAAGATGGAACCAGTCAGGCCAGAGTTTCAAATTGGAAAAATATTAGAGAAAGAAGAGATTAACGAACTCTTTTGGCATTTCTTGTTTGTTTCAACTTCCTCCCATCTCACCCACTTACCTTGTTCCCTCATGGTTTAACTCAGGAAAGATAACAGCACTGATTAAAGGACACACAGGATTGGTGGGATATAGGGATATGGACATTTATATCCTCTTTTGATGGGAATGTACAACCTTTCAGAAGGGCAATTTACAATGTGAGTTAGAAGTCTCCCCGAAATACATTCTCTTTGGCATAATAATCTCATTTCAAGGAAGTTATCCTGAGGAAATAATTAGGCATGTGCAGAGATGTGTGTGCAGAGTTTTGTTGTTGCTCTAAAGTTAATAATAGAAAAAAAGAAAGAAAACAAAACAACCCGTGTATTAGCAACAGAGGATTAGTCAAATATAGTAATCCAAAGATGAACTATTAAGCAACTACTAAAAGGAAAGATATAGATATATAGTTATGGACATGAAATGATGTTTGAAATGCAGTGTTTGGGCGCAGGAGCAGGTTACTGAGAAATTTGCATGATAATGATGCTATTTTTTTTATTCGTATAAGAAAAAGACATATATATGTATATA